TGGAGAAGAGCAACCAAAGCAGCTGACCCCAGGACAGTCTGGGACTAAGGCTGTGAAAAAGATGAAGAAGAAGAAGAAGATCTGGGATTTCTTTCCTTTTTTCTTTTCAGCAAATGTGTTTGTTTTCATTCAGCCGTTACATTGAATATAAAATCATTAATAATTAGTAAAGTAAAAGTTTCTTAGCAGATGGCGTACAGTATGTACTAATTATATGTTAGATACACACATATTTAGCGTGCAGTGGGTGTTTGTAAGGTTTACCTATCTGGTGTATTAATTAGACTGTATATAGTACAGGTTTCTGTTGACTCCTAATAACAGATTTAGTCTAATGGACCTTGTCACACGTGGGAAGGCTCAGTGACCCACTGTCTGGAATCTGGTCTTTGCAGTGTCAGAAAGCCTGTAGGCTCCATTATAGTAGTTTAATCTGGATGATGGGAGAACATGTGTCAGTATTTCAGCATCAGAGAAGTAAAGCAACGTTCTTAACAAGCATTGTTCTGCAGGTCGAAGAAAGCCTTGTTATGTTTTTTCCATACATTTCAAATGATAAGAGTCAAGAGTAACAAAACAATTTCTAACTTCTATTAGGAGTTTGTCATTATTGTTTGATGGCACTGAAATCAGTCACACACTTTGTGAAGTTGATGTTGGAAGCATACAGTAATTTCAGTCTTGTCAAAGTTTATTTTAGGAAAGTTCTGTTATATTCATATTTTAATATAATTGCAAAGTGCAGAATCTTAAATTATAATTATGATTTTATGAGCTATCATCTTCCAGCTTTGTATGGTATTTAATTCCAAACACACAGCATTGTTGTAATGCTTTAATGAAAGATTAATTCAGTCAAAGGTTTGCAAAGATGCTGGATCGCTGTGTGTGTGTCATACATTATACATCGAGTGGTGTACTAGCCTTCCAGTTCACGCTGCGCTAAGTTTGACAGGAAGGAAATGAGGTTGCATCAGCTGCCAACAAGCAAAGGCTCACTGTTGACAATTTTAGAACCCTGTGTTGTGGCATGTGCAAGCTGGTGATCAGTGATCAAGACTACTTTAGTCCTGGAAAACGCTTTTTAATAAACCCCTATAAGGTAGAGTTATATTTAAAAACGATGTGATAGAGTAAAACAAATCATGAAGGTTATGTGCAAATGGTTATCATTCTCCCTTATTAGCTAATTGAAATATATTCTGACCAGCTGCAGTTAATGGAGAATAGCATGATTTGTGTAACAGCTGACTTCACAAGCAGGATGCTAATGCGAAGGAGAGAAAGAGGGTGAGAATGATCTGGGATTGGGCTGCTAAACCGAGTGTTTTGTCATACAGACAGGCTGTCACAATGGCATTGAGCCTGAGTGGTGCAAATAAAGCAGATTTCAGCTCTAGTAAGGGGGTGTACATATTTTAGAGATGCTTTTAAATAAAGGCTAACATGGGGAGAATAACTATGAAATTCAAGCTTTTGTTGACATTGAAGTTGTATCTGGCTGGTTAGTAAGTGCAAGTGCACATTCTAACTCAGAATGAGTGAACATTCAGACCACAGAAGAACACCCTTATTGGCCTGTGGATGGAAATATACACTGCAAACCTCCTAATGCCCTTGTGGTTGAGGAAAATGCTGAACTTTAACTCAAGCCTATTGCTAGTGGTGATGCCTTGAGGCAGTTTTCAGTGGATAAAGAGCCTATCCACAAAAACGATGACGACCTTGGAGAGACAGAGCCCACTGGAATGACTCAAGGCAATGTGGAGTGTGGAATGTGTTTGGCCAAAAAGTATTGCTGATGGTGGGAAAGCCATAGATTTCACTGCAGAAGTCAAGTTCCTTCCCGAGTTGTGATAACCAGGCAAGTGGGGGTGGAGCAGGCTGTCTTGTCCCACAGAACAACTCGTCTTCAAAGTTTGAAAATGGAACATGATTGTCGGAGATTGAACAGCCACCAGTGGCTCCCTCAAGCCGACAGACAGTTTACTATAATGGTGATGAGGTCTTCTTACACATCTTGAGAGGCACAAACAACACACTTTTCAACCCTATTCTATCCCTGGCAAATAATGGCACAGAGCAAAGGTTTGCAAAGCCCCTAGGTTGGTCCCTGTTCTTCTATCCTTTAGCCCTAATACATAATTAAAGCTTCATGAAAGGTTTAACAAAAGATGACAATGTATGCGAACACTCAATTTCAGTATTGGGTTGGATCACTTGAGTGTCAATGACTTCAACTTAACGCTTCCTGTAACTTTTTATCAGTCTCTTGCATTAACTTTAGTTTTGGTCCATTCTTCCTTATAGAACTCATTCCGTGACAATGTAAGGTTTTCTTGCATCAGCAGTTCACTTTAGGTTTAGACTTTGGCTTTGCCAATCTAAAATGCAAAACTCTGTTGTAGATCTGCTTGTCTTGCTTCATCCACTTCTGGCTCACTGTCAGCTGACAAATGGATGGCCTGACGTTCTCCTCCAAAATGTGCTCGTACATTGAATTGCTGAATTCAGTTTCATCATTGAGGGAAAGTTTTCTGGGTTCTGCGGCACAACGCAGCACCAATCCATGACACTCCCACCTGACAATTTGAAGACTGGAATGTGGTTCTTCTGTTGGAAGGCAGAGGTTTGTTTTGCTACACAAAATGTTTCTCATTTTATCCAAAGAGCTCAAGTTTTGATCCATCTGTGCCAGAACATTTTTCCAGTAGTCTTGCACATCCTCCAGCTGCTTTCTGGCAAACATGAGATAGGAGGTAATAATCTTTTTATATAGCAATGTTTTATTCTTGGCTATCCTCCCACTACCACTATTCCCATGATGGTCTTTTCTGAGGGCTGAGGCATGAGCACTGACATGAGCTACAGAGAGGCCTGAGGTTCCACAGACATTATGCTGCGGCTCTTTGTGACTTTCCAGGCTGCTCTTTGGAAGATCTTGGCAGGATGACTCTGGCAGGATGATCCTGGGTCTGGAATGTTTCCATTTGTCCACTGTCTGACAGATCGTGGAGTTGGTCAGCAGTGAGAAGTCCCGCCCAGTGATCCAGATTGGACACATCTGTTATATGGAATAGAAATGCTGGGCAGGACCCGGGGCTTCAGTGTGCCCAGGACGTCAATTTCAACACTGTCATACTCAGTAAGGTCAGCAGAGGAACAAACAGAGGTAAGGCTGAAAAAAATGTTTTTTTTTTTAGTGTTTTTAATGGTTTAATGGATGTTTTTTAGTGTTTAATGGATGAACACAGACACCTTGGCCCGAGTATTCAAAAGCAGGGGAGCTCATACCATTAAGATGCCCTGCACACTTCTAAAAACTGTGACTTAGTGACTACGGCTGCTGAGACTGTTTTGGGGCAGAGGCAGGAGAAGGGTGACATTATGGAGCAAAATGGCTCATCCAATTACAGATTCTGCATCTCTAACTGTGATTAGGACAGTCAGGTCGTGCCCTGATAAATCACAACTCCCACAGCATGGCTGTGGTTCTGCGAGGCAGCCCTCAGTGTGTCCATGACAGCAAGCTCCTGTGTTGCACTAACTGTAGTTACAGTCCCTCTGACTGTATTTAGAGTTTAATTGCCAGATTCAAGAAAAAAGTATTTTGCAGATCTGAAATCCCCAAACATTTTGAAGGTGTTCACCTGCACATGGGAGTGCTCGTTCCTGTGGAGCTGCTGCGTCCTGCGAAAACGTCTCATACGACAGCCGCCCACACTGTCAGAAGCAAAGCCTGCCGGAAGAGCAGCTGTGACATCCTTCCATAGTGCAGCCGGACTGACTGTGTGGGAGAGGCGCCGGCCCGCGATTCCTAGAGAAAATAGGAGCCCTTTGCCAGCGTCACTAGTGTCTTCCACTCGAGAGCGAGAGCGTGCTTTTCTAACGGATCCAATCAGTGACCCTGGGGAACGGGTGACTCACCAGCCGGGGACAAAACAGGAGGTGGTGGGAGAAATTAAAAACCCAGCATCCGCGTCAGTAAGGGTATATCAGAGAGCAGTGTAACACACAGGAGCGCGTGCTAAAACAGGTACAAGATTAGCGGTTTATACATCTCTCTCTCTCTAGCCTCTCAGAGCACAGTGCCGTGACATCCCCCCTTTCACACTGCAACACAGCGGCTGAAGAGCAATAGCCAGTACAGAGCAGAACTGTTCCATCCTATGATTCCTGTCATCTCGTTTACTGGAACACAAAACACATCATAACCATAAAAAGTCAAATATAAAGAGATCATTTGCTAGTTTATGGTGAACAAATGGCAGATATTTAATTGTTTGGAGGAGCTGACAGCATATTAAAAAGACCTGATTTAATCTTTGGAACACTGGAGCCTGTTTGGAACCCAGGGTAATACAAAGAGGCACTGCCTTCCTCTGTTTAGGTCTATTACAGGCATCATAAACCCTTAGCAGCAGTTACTCTACTATTTAGAATCAAATCTTCAATATTACGAATGAGGCCATTTCTTGGAACAATAGCTGGAATGATACAAATTGTGTCTCCATAAATGATCCACTTAAATTTCCTTGCATTCATTTGACACCTGATAGTTTCTTATTATCACAGCTTCTGTTCCTCTGTGCATACTCTGTATGGGTGAGACTGTATTTTAGGAGTGTCTAGAGGTTGTTCAATTCTGTTTCCCCCCTGCTCCTGCTTCTCCTGCGCAATCAGTCTCATCTGAGACCCTCAAAGTGGCGGAGACAGATCACGCTGACTGGTCGGACTCGGTTGGCGATTTGGACTCTGCATTCCTTCTCCTGGAACCAGAGGATCCTGGACTGTCCCGTTTCTAAAGAGCCCTCTACGCTTGGATCCACTGGCCCGTGGGAGACGGAAGAGTTGTAGGCATTATTATTTTTAGTTTTATTTTTCGTATTGCATTTTGCTATCTTTGGGATATTAAACAATATATATATTTGAACAAACATGCTGTTATTGAGAGGTCTGGCACATACATCCAAGTCTAATTTTCTATTGATTGTTGTGTTTAATATTTGTGGTGAAAGAGTTTTTTGAATAATGTTTTATTGAGAGCTGCACAGAACAAGGAGCAGACTCGGTGTTTAAATAAGAAAAAGATTTAAATTATAGATCAATTAGCTTCTTTGCCCACACATTTTCTTTCAGCTAGAAATGAATGTGATAATATCAGTGTGTTTACATTAATAGGATTGTATTTCTCAATGAATTATTCAGCATTGCAGTACTGTATAATGAACATCTATGCAGTATTTAATTCAACCTTCAGCCAGCACTACATTCCTTGTTGGACTCAGACTTGCCCAATAGCATTTCTGCAACATTTTAGATCTCTGTCTGTGACCAATCTGTGGAAGCAATACAAAGTGGCAAGGAGAAATGTTGGCATATGTTATTAAAATTGTAGGATTTACATGAAGGGATGTTAAAATTATTCTAGTTGGCCACCCATCTGGGTAGGTTGCTTAGAGTGTCCTGCTGTCTTTGGTTCATGCTCCAGATCTTGGACATCTCAATGGTGTTGTACAGTTCACTCTTGGACTGCGGGGTATATCTGTCCTGCCTACCCTTCCCCTACTACAGCCCTTGGCAAGGCATATACATTACGGTGATACAGCTTCAGAGCTGGACACCTAAAAGATTGTTTTGTCTCTCTGTCAGGTCTGTGGGTTGTGGAGTGCTGGCTCCAATGAGAGCTGGCTAGATGTCTCTTCTCCACACCTTCTCTTTCTTTCTGTTATCTGTTCTCCATCTATTAAACCTCACAGCTCCCAGTGAGCCACCTCTTTCACAACACATATCTCATACCTAAACAATGAGGTTTTCCTTCTCATTAAGGTTTTAGCCCCAAGGCAAAGCTTTTGTGTAGTGGAGCCCTCTTTCACCATTCTACATTCCTTTTTCTGATGGATTTGTCCTTCTGTACAGATTATATTGATTTGTTTCTCTTTCTCTAACCTACACTTACTGTAAGCTATATCTTTCTCAGCGAGCCTTCTTTAAGTACTCTTCTTAATAATTAATCACCGAAGGGGCTAATTTCTCCCCATGAGTCTTCTCTCAGTTTGTATCACTCTCACATGGAAGTCAGACTGAATGATTCTTTGTGTGTTTAATTTTCTTCTGATTATTTGAAGCACTTGAGAACAGGTTATATACACGCTTGCAGACCACAGTGGGGGAACTGTATGGTAGTGCTAAGTGTGCTGTCAGCCTGGGAATCAACATGGCTGAGTCACCTGAGTGTTGTCAAGTCAAGACCGGGCTGCTGTACTCTTTACTGGTCGCCTGACATTGACCAGGAAATTGAACTGTGGGTCAAGGACCCACTGTGGGTCAGTGTATTCCAACACCCTACGGCCAGTTCTGTGCCCATCAGGATCTTCAGAACAACAGCAGTTAGATGCTTGGCGGGGAATCCCTGGTGCTGTGACTGTCTGTTTCTCAGCAGGGCCTGTCACCACTCAGACACCAGGCAATTTCCATGACCTTAAAACAGAAGAGGGGTCACAGCATTCCTCAGCGTTGCAGCATTCTTCTCAGCACCCCTCAGTGATAAAGGAATATGCACTTTTGAACAGCTGTTCATGACCCACAAGCCAACAGAGGGGATAAAAGATTCGAGTTAAGATTTAAGAATGGCCTATTAGCCCACCTGGTGCAAGTGTGACCATGTCAGATGTCTCTTCTGCTTTACAGAGCCACCAAGCAAGACACGAGTGGCCCCTTCAGCCCAGCTGATGATGTGACCCAAATTGCCCCTCTCCTGCACCGACCTCACAGTGGGATGACAGTTTCCTGACATATTTTCAACCACTGTGTGTGAAAACACAAATGTACAGAAATACAAACATGTTGATGCATAATTTACCAGCAAATATCTTTTGAAACTACTATCCTCAATTAAGCTTCTGTTTTTATTTCTGGTGCTAGGATTCTGTGCCAATCTGATTGCTCACGAAAGCTGTTTGCAAGGTTGGAAATGTACAGCAATAAAGCACAATTGCATAGGGATACCTTGTACTCTGTCATACTGTATGGTCACATGAAGACCTCTGTGCCACCAAACCAGTGTTACTACTGACACTGGAAAATGGGTATCCTTATTTCCCCCTGCACAGAGAGCCCAACTGCACGGACAAAGAGAAGCTCTGGAACTGGAGCAGGTGGACTGGACTGTTTCCACGCCACTCAGCTCTGTCAGTCCCTTTGTCTGCCCCTGGAGACGGAGACTCTCAGCTGAGCAGAGAACAGTTCTAAAAATCCACTGCATGTAATCCACACAGTCTGATGTGAAGCACAGAATGAAATGTTTTTTAAATGAATGAAGTAGCTCACTCTTTCTGAGCCGCGAGTCCTACGCAGATGTGTGATCCATAATTACTAGCAGTTGTTCAGTTTTTTTTAAGATTTTTGCTTAAAATAGACCTTTATGGATTTAGACTGTCACCCAAGAGCTTTTTAAAACCAGTGTGTTAGTCAAACATAATACCAAAATAATGCTTGGGTATGCGACAGATGTGAATTGATATTATTTAAAGTAGGTCCTCCAGCGTTT